CTGACAGAGCAGTGTAATGATCGTACCATTTCCAGAGTAGCTAACATTGTCAAGGCTCATAAATTAACTAGTCGTCAGAATTCTTACGAAAAAGACTCAGTATGTCAGTTTTTGGTGAGTGGCCTAATCTTTTCTTGAAAGAATGTATTCTTCATAGAAATGGTTTTGTTTCCGGACAACAAATTATTGAATTATTAGTCCCCAGTGTGTTTCATGAAATTATATTTTCAGGGCTGCATGACGAATTTGGTCAACAGGTTAGAGTTCGTATTCTTTCCTTGATAATATCCCGGTTTTACTGGCCTGGTTTAGATCATTTTGTTGATAGACGCATACGAAAATGTCAAAGATGTATCCGGCGAAACACGACAGTCAGTTCCGTAACACCCCTTGTCTCTGTTTAATCGACTTTTCCACTAGAATTTGTCTGTATGGACTATTTATCCCTTGAAATGTCTTTAGGTGAGTATGAGCATATACTGGTCATAACCGATCATTTCACTCGTTATGTTCAGCCACTCGGTATCAGACAGCTCAAACTACACCTAAACTCCTTTTTGAACAGTTAATCTGTAACTACGGGTTTCCCAGCCGCTTACACAGTGACCAAGGTCGCAATTTTAAAAGCGCTGTTATACTTGAGCTTTGTAAGTTGGCTAACATTGAGAAGAACCACCCCATATCACCCACAAGGTAACGGTTTGGCGGAGCGTTCCATTAAATCCTTTTAAATATGTTGAGAAACTCTTGATGATTCTCAGAAGTCCAATTGGAAGGCACATGTACCACCTTTGGTACGTGCTAACAATTCAACTAGGCATGAAAGTACCGGGTTAACACCTCACTTTCTAATGTTTGATAGACATCCACGCCTAGCAATCGATGCCTTCATTGGAATTGACCCCGAAGATTAGGAAAAATCCCGGAGTCATCCCAACTCATTCCAACTATGCCATTGGTCTGCAGAAACGCCCGAGCTACGCCTATAAAGTGCCCGGCCGTGAGTCTAAGCGGCAGTCCTGACGTCATAAGAGACGGTATGATCTAATGTAAGACATGCCAAAATCGAGCCAGATAACAGAGTTCTAGTCAGAAACGTTGGTCTAAAGGGTAAGAACAAACTTACCGATAGATTTGGCAAAGATGTTTATATTGTTCAAACCCAGCCCAACCCAGACATACCCGTATTTGTTGTAAGACGAAAGCATTGCCGAGGTCATAGAAACGTCTTATTACCTTCTATGGTTCTTCCTCTTCATACTTCTAAGTCTCAGACTGTTGATTATTCAGTCCATCGGATTCACTTATCAAAGTTCTGATCTAATAGTCGCAGATTCTTTGAGTAATCTCATGAATGAAATTCCATCTGCTTCTTTCAACACTTCACATATTTCCCATGAGAAGAATAAAATCCATGCAAGGAGGAAATCAGTTCTTAACCTATTTTCCAAACCGTTTTGTCCCAGTCGCCTAGTTCGAAACAAAAGACAGCCAAAGTGGTCATCATCCCCTGAGTGGACGACATAACACTTTGTTAGCTGATAGAACATTACCCAGATTGTAGATTGTTTGCTGCAATTGTTATTGTTCTTGTGAGGACATTCTTTTAGTATGAATTATTTTTTGTATGATTTTTTATGATCATATGATTGATAATGATAGTTAAAGATGCATGATTTTGAAGAATTTTGTAAACTGGTGTACTTAAACATATTTTTTTGCTGATATATTTATATGAGTTTTGCAGGAAGAATATTGATAAGTTGCTTATCCGTAACTGACTGATTTAAGATGTAGAGAGTCTTTGTAAAATACAGTTTCTATTTGGAGTTTAATGTTCCTTTAGCTGCGCCTCATATTGTTATTAGACAGTCTCATTTTTGTACAGACTTGAGTGCCATCCGTGAATTAATATGATGTTATCTTAATAAGTGATGTTTTTTTCGATAAGATCAAACCTCTTAATATTTTACTATATAAACATTATAGGCCTGATGTTCATTAAAGTACTTTGATAGTTTTTTAAACAGCTGATTTACCAGAAGATAGAGTATTTATTTTAAATGTATTGTGTATGTACACTTTTTAACTCTGTGTGTAATTGTCTATCTTAAAGAAGCATTCCCATTGTAAGATTTCTTGGCATTGGTTGTTTTAAATGTCGGGAGGGGGAGAGGGTGTCGCAGGGTCATATTAATGTGTGATATGCTGTTTGTCAATGTAAACAAACGTTTAATATAGTGGGATAAGACATTTATTGATAGTTCCATTATGTTTACAAGTACATGTATAGAGGAAACTTTACCAATATATTATTTCTATATTTTTGTACAAATAAAAAAAGCTACCCTCCTTTTCTACGTAAGAAAATTTTGTTGTAGCTGATTACGTACTGTTGCTTCGCTAGGCACCCGGCGAAAACTCAAAAATACGACTAAGAAGATTTGTCGATTTTTTGTCTGGCGCCCATAACACTTTGTTGTTTCTCCATGTCGCCGTGTAACATGCATGAGCTTTATTTTTTTGATCATTTTGCGTGTAAACTGAAACGTTCACCCTACTCTAAATATGGAATATAAGATTACATTTGAGCAATCGTTATATATAAAATATAGTGAAAACCTTTAATATAGAAATGTTTTAGGCAAAATTAGACTGTTCTTAAACAAACTTAATATCGAGTTAGGAAGACAAAATAATGTACCAAGGAATGAACGAAAGTGCACTTTATATTATGTAAATGACATAGAAGAAGAATTTTACTTTATAATTAAATGTACGATATATTCTGAGTTCAGAAAACAATTGAATTCATTCAAAGATATTATTATGCAACACAAGTATGGTTTAATTCATTTCGTTAACGCAAATAGCTGGTCGCTAGAAAATACTGAAAACAAAAAATAGCAATATACAGTGATAAAGCTTTTAAAATGAGGGATAGGTTGTTATAATATACTGACGTTAAAGATTTGCTCTCTGTCTCTGTTTTCTTCTGTTATTTCTTTATTTTTTGGAATTAAAAAAAATGAAAAAGTATCATTGTTACTGTTAAATGCGCATTGTAAATTCATCATGTAGATTCGTTAAGTTATATGTGAATATTGTACATATATATTTATATATATTTATTTATTAGTCCCCTACCGGTTTAAAACGGAGGGGACTTTAGGTTTACCCTCCGTCCGTCTGTCTCCCTGTCACTCTGTCATACCGTCCGTCCACAAACTGGATCCTGCGATAACGCAAAAAAGTACTGAAATCATTTTAAATAAACGTTACATAAGGATACATGGCAGTATGCAGATTATGCACATCTTTTTCTTTTCTTCCTATGTTGAAAATTCTGGTTGCTATGGCAACAAATAGACTATATAATAAAATATGGCAAATTTTACATATATACTGGATCCAGTGGTAACACAAAAAGAACTGTAATTATTTTTTATGAAACTTAAAATATGGGTAGGTGGCAGTCTGGAAATTATTCACATCTTTTTCTTTTCTTCCCATGTTGAAAATTCTCGATGCTATGGCAACAAATAGACTGAATTTAAAGATTTTTTATTCTAGTTTTTCACTATAACTTCTTTATTTCTTAAGGTATTTACTTAAACTTTAAATGTAAGTTTCTTGTCACTAATCACATCATATGTGACAAGGTTTACAACCAACTCTAGCTTAAAAATTATCCGGATTACCTCCCTTGAGCTTAGAATTTTCATGAAAAAAAGTTTTTTTTAATAACTTCTATATTTCTTAATGAATCTACTTCAAACTTCATATATATGTCTCTTATTATCACTCAAAATTTGTGAGAAACTTTAATACTGAAGGAAGACTTTTTCCAGAATTATGTCCCCCTTAAACTTTTTATGAGAAATTGATATTTTTTACTCCAACTTCTTCATTCCATAGAGGATTTACTTCAAACTCCCACATCATAATAATGTGACAAGGTTTATAAATCTAGACTCCCTATTTCCAGAATTATCTCCTCTTTAGACTTTGATTTTTTCTTATTCATTCTCTAACTTTCTTTTTTCTTTTTGAATTTACCTCAAATTCAAAATAAACAATCATTATCGACACCTACATTGTATTTATTTATTTTTTAATTTTCATCTTTGCTACTATACATTTTTATGGTTTATTTCAAAATTGTTATTTTTTTACTTTTCTTTTTGTGAATATCTTTAAATTTAAAAAATGTTCCTTGTTACACTCATATCATGTCTGACTATGTCCATAAATCTAACATCTTTATTTCAAGAGTTATCTCCTCTTTAAGATTTTTTGCTTTAAAAATGTTATATTTTGGTAACAGAGATGTCAAAAAATAACTTGAGTCTCCTTCAGTCTGTTTGTCTGTGTGTTCATAAAAACTGTTTCCTGAGATCACTTTTGAAGATTTTTCCAACAAATAGATTCACTTAAAATAGAAAAAAGTTGAAACATTAGTTTACTAGGCAGGGAAACTTAACACATTTCTAGGATACAGACAAACTTAGAACTCAAAAAATTAAAGTTCATTTATGTCATTCATGTCATTCGTGTCATTCATTCATTCAATGGCATAATTGAATGAACAATGGCCCATCAGCATTTTGTTGGGGTTCTAACCGGTAGGATTGCTTGCAATACTATGATAATTGCTTGTTCATATTTGTATCTTCTCAAATACAATATAAAGTTGCATGTCTGTTTTCCAACACATAACAAAATATAAATATGTTTACCTTTTTGAAATGTTTTGACAAGAATAATCTTTATAGTTATAATAAGTATATTTTTGTTTAATATAAGTTTTATTTCTTTCGCATATTTGTCGGTATTGTGTGTGTTTTTTCTTCTTTAGATATAAACGTAAAAAACCAGTAAACGTATTTCTTTTTTATTAATATTGATCATGAATAATTAAGGGAAGTAAATGCTAAAATACTTGTTATGTAAAGTTATATAAGTTATTCCCCTTTATTTGTCACTATCACTAATTTCCATTAAAATGCAAATTTTCTTTTTGGTGGAATCTATAAATAGGCATTACCGAATTTCTCAATCAAGTATTGTAGCTTATAATTTGATTATGTTAGGTAAGGATAGACAAATTCTTGTGCAATACATTCATGTATTCATATGCTTTTTAAGTAATATCTTATCTCAATAAACATTATCATGTTTCATAAACCATTATTTTGCAATTTTATATGTTCATGTCATGTGTCATTTATGTATTATATGTTGTATTTGTATATGTAATATGGTAATGAGCTTTTGATGCTTAAACCAAACAATAAAGTGTTTGTTCACTTCTGTTCAGTTAAAAATGTGGAGAAAACCGAAAGCGGGCATCATGAAATTGCAAAGATTGCTTACCCCATTATGAACAAGCTAATGCTGGTCTACCATACAAACGATAACTCCATTAAAATCATAGTTGTATGTTACATCAACCAAAAGTGAATTATAGAAGCTTCAAGTCTTACCTCTTTTTCTTTGGACAACTGTGTTTCAATGTCAGTTATTCTGTTTTTAAGCTCCTCATATTCATCTTTCGTTACAGCAGTTTCTTTTATTTGCCTTAGAATTTCTCCAACACCTTCAGTAGTAATAATGAAGTCCTTCGTTTTCAGCTGATGAAAAAATAACAATATGTCAGTTTTACCTTCAGATGTAAAAGTGTAGGTTTTTATTTACTCTCTTAAAACCATGCTGCATAAGGTCAGACTTTATTTAAATATTATCTCAATTGTTGTTTCATTTAAACTCCCATACTCATTCTTTCTGTGGACTGTTGAAATCCGCTTTTATAACAGGATGTGTGGTAAAGACATCTTATATCTCAGACATTTCTATTTGTCAGCATATAATTTTTTACATATTTCTAAAAAACCTAAGCTCGGTTACTTAAAAAAAATCACATTTAACAGGGTTGTTTATGACTTCACAAATAAAGGTTAACTTAAGGCAATTGTTATTCAAATTGACAACAATGAACCAATTCCAGTTACCCCAAATACGTTCTGAATGAATAGTTTAAATCAAAACTAAACTCAATCAGGATTTCAACTTACTTATTCAAAAAATTCATTATTTGCACTTACATCTTGAAGTTTCCGGACAGCTTGTTTTGAAACTGGATGATGTACAAGCTCCTTACTATCTTGTAGAACGGATATCATATCACAAATGTAAGAATTAGCCTCAGTTTCCTCTAACTCCATATTGCTTGAGTGAAAAATCTTATTTCGGTATTGTCGAACCTGTTGAATTGACAACAAGTCTAAGTCAAACATTAACACATAATAATACTGTTTTCAGCAATACGACTAAGCAATACTCTTAGAAATAAGAATTAAAACTGCAAAGCAAGTTACTAAATTGCAACTTCTCGACACAGTTAACTGAATTAATTCACACGCAAAACCACAGATGCACAAGTTCACATGGTGATCAACATTCCTGTAAAGTGTTTTGACTCTAGCTAAATTACTGTTAGGGCAGATTGTGGACGTATGCACGGACAGACAAGGGCAAATCTAAATGCCCCAAAACCCCTAGATTCGGGGCATAACATTTTCTTACATATAATTTCATCTACTTACTTGAAGTATTCAAACTAGCAAGGCTCGCTAAAACATTTATACCTAATCACTTAAAGTGTGTTGCATAACAGTTTTTGAATCATAATTCACTGCAGAAATTTAACTACATAAGTCTCATAATTATATGGACATAACATCACATTGATGCAGTAATGGGATAACTCTTATTAAAACAACAATCAGATAATATTAAGCTTTACTATATTACTAGTCTATATAAAAGAGATAATTTTCACCTAAATGCACTTAAGTTTAACTCTAATGTTAAAAATATTACAAAAAAAATAAATAAACACATAGTACTTAAATGCATTTACCTCTAAAAACAGATTGTTTGGTGCTGTAACATTGCATCCAATATGATTGTGAAAAAATTTGTTATTTATTATAACATGGAGTAACCCTGAACAGTCCGTGTCAAATGCCGATGCTTTGTCATTGTAACCAGGAGCATTTATAAAGCATTTACAAATGCTCCATTTTTCAGTGGACCAAATAGTTGCATCACTGTTTTTCCAAAAAGGTGCTGGTGGATTTGATGCATGATTCCGTATAATGTTGTCGTAGATGGCACCACATACGTTGTTTGGACAGGGTTTCTTATTATTTGGAAAGCAACAGTTACATTTATCTTGCCCGAGAGGACATATCCCTTTTGAGACTCGGACGTGGTCTGGCTTGAGAGTTGTTATCTTACAGACGCCACATGATACATTTGGCTTCAGATTCTTTGTTCGTTGAATATATTTCATAATATCTTCATATTGCTGTGTTCCTATGTCATCACAAAATTGTGCTAATCCCTCTTTTAGATAACCTAAGCCTAAGCCAGCTTTGACCCACTGCCGGTATTTGTTGTTCTTTAAATGTTTCTCATGCGTCATCACACCATCTAGAAAATAAAGAAATTAATTTTTTAACTACATTTTGTAAGAATCCAAGGAAAACCAATATAAAATACGACTAAACACAATCATTAGAATGCCCCGAAAGCTGAGCCCAATTAAAAAACTTTGATATTTAACTTACAATGAAGGCACAATGGAATGAAGAGTCTAAACGACCCATTTGTGTTTTCCCTAACATAAAATGTTGATTGTCAGGTCTTTGTTTTTCATTCATACACGTATGTCAATAGTTTTGTGTATGTTGTAAAATTTGTCATTGCAATGTTGATGAATATTTTATGCTGAAATAAATCGTTTAATCTCTAATTATGATCCCTGTCAAAAGAGGTTCTTGTTTGTCCTAGATATCACACCTGAGAATCATTGTTAGAAATGTTTATTATTCCTCAATTGAAAGTAGATAATTATGTTTCATTCAGACATGTCTGACATGGTCTGAAACAAGAAGCGCATTTGCGTAAATACGCAAGCAGAATCTTCACAAATGAACATCAATGTATTTTAGTTAATAGTTGATCAAAAGTATCCAATCTACTATCAGGCAGCAAATCAGACTTACATTTTATGCAAACTGAACGGGCAGATCTTTGGTTTAAAACTTCCGAATTTAGCGAAAAAAATCTTTTCATCTGTTGGTCGATGCTTCAAAAGCGTAACATTGTTTTAAATGTCAAATGTCAATGTCGTGTCTGACCCTGTACTTTCATATTTCTTATATGTCTGTCTCAATTACTATCGAACTCGATGGGTTCCGCTTCAATCAAAGCAATGACGATAAGTGCAAACTTATATTGAACAATATCTATTGAAATCATTTCGTATTCAGAAATAGTTATTGTGATCCGACCCATTCAAAATATTCATAGCTATAACTAGGAGATAATTGAGTTCTATGCTTGCTTAATCTGATATTGTGAGCCATAACTTTTTCACCCTAAACACAAGTGACGCTTAGATGTAGTCCTAGTAAATTAACCATTATCTAAATATCCCGTATTTCTGTTGGGTCAGAGCTTAAATATACTATTTCAAACTGACCAGTCTTAGGTATAGTTTTGCTTTGTATTTAATGTGGTCATTTCATAAATTTACGCTCCCCGTTTATTACATTTTTGTCCGTTTTTCGAGAAATGACGCTATTGTTATTACTTTGCATCAATATGGACAGATTAACTTTTTAACACGGTGTATGAGGGCATACTCCGTTAAATAGCTTTGAAACTAAGTCGTGTCTTGGTTGTCTCTTACCTTGTTTCTTTGCAAGTTGCTGCGCCATGTCCACGTGTTGTTGTATAGGTGTCACAGGCGGTGGTGAAGGAGCCCTAGCCGGAGGTGTAGACGCTTTTGATGTGGGTGTAAGTGGCGTAGCCAAAGGTGTAGGAGCCATTGGTGTGGGTGTAGGTGCTTTAGGCGTGAATATAGGCGGCAAAGCCGTGGTTGTAGAAGCCCTTGGCGTGGGTGTAGGTGCTCTTGACGTGGGTTTAGGTGCTCTAAACGTGAATATTGGTGGCATAGCCGTGGGTATAGGAGCCCTTGGCGTGGTTGTAGGTGCTCTAAACGTGAATATAGGTGGCAAAGCCGTGGGTGTTGGAGCCCTTGGTGTGGGTGTAGGAGCTCTAAACGTGAATATAGGTGGCAAAGCCGTGGGTGTAGGAGCCCTTGGCGTGGGTGTAGGTGCTCTTGGCGTGGGTGTAGGTGCTCTTGGCGTGGGTGTAGGTGCTTTAAACGTAAATGTAGGTGGCATAGCCTTAGGTGTAGGAGCCCTTGGCGTGGGTGTAGGTGCTCTAAACGTGAATATAGGTGACATAGCCGTGGGTTTAGGAGCCCTTGGCGTTGGTGTAGGAGCCGTTGGTGTGAGTGTAGGTGCTCTAAACGTGAATATAGGTGGCATAGCCGTGGTGTAGGAGGCCTTGGTGTGGGTGTAGGTGCTCTAAACGTGAATATAGGTGGCACAGCCGTGGGTGAAGGAGCCCTTGGTGTGGGTGTAGGTGCTCTTGGCGTGGGTGTATGTGCTCTTGGCGTTGATGTAGGTGGCGTAGCCGGAGGTGTTTGAGCCTTTGGCGTCAGTGTAGGTCCCCTAATCGGATGTGTGGGTGTAGTGGGTGAAGAAGCTTTTGTTTTGGGTTTGTGTTGCGAAGGAAGAGATGAAGGTGCGCTTGGCGTGGTTGAAGGTGGCTCAGTCGGAGGTCTAGGTGCTCCTGGCGTAGATGAAGGTGGCCTACGTGGTAGTGTACCAACTGAAGACATTATCAGTGTGGTTGCCCTTGGTATAGTTGTTTGCCGCCTCTTACGTAACGACGGTTGGTCATGATCCTCAAGTATGACAGGTTCTTTCGTCTTTAGAGTCGATCGTCTTTTATTCTCTTAATATAAATAAATAAAAATACGTTGGTTAAAAGCATTCATGTTTACCTCTAAGTATAAATTTACTGTAAAAAACATGAAAACTGGACCCTCCGAAAACCGGAATCGTCTGACAAACGGACCAGTATTTTTCCAATTAGTTCATACAAAATATCCTCTAAAAACCGGAAACTCTGAAATCCGAAAACCGTATGGCTTTCTATGGATACTTATGTATTCTGCGTATGCTTCGTTTTTGCGATAGGCGTTTAGATACGGGTTCTTACACACATTACGGACACAATAGTTGTTAAACAATAAATCTTATATTGCGTCAACAGGCTAATTTTTGGCGAATTATTACTTTCGGCCCAAGCAATTTTACGATGTGTTCAGACCATGCAATGTTACAGTTCAGCATCATGGCACATGAGTATAAGGAACCCGAAGTTTAAAAAGTCTATACAGCTTGTCAAGTGGTCCCACACCAGAAAGGAGGAAAAAAGTAGGAACATGTTTTGCCAAAAAGTAGAAATAATAGTATATAAAGGTAGTAACATTTCCTCCAAAAAAAAGAAAGAGTATTTAGCTGTCTTACCTTATTAAATACATGATGATTTATATTCTTTGATTTTATTTACCTAACAATTGCATACTGATTACATGGTCAATGCACAAACTTTATCAATCTTCGATGTGAATAAATATGATTTGTTTCTTTGAAATAATTATACTGACCTTTATAGCGCAATAAAGTAAACTTCCGGGTTATAATGTCTTTATGTCCTTTGTGTCTTAAGATACTTATTTTTTTCTAATTTATAACTATTTTCAACATTATTGAAGCTATGGTTTTTTTTATTTTTAGTATGTTTTGCACTCACTTATTTTGGTAAAGGCTATATTTTTGAATAACATATTTTTTCGTTCTAAATTGAAATCAATAAAAGTCATTTCAGTGCCGTAAAAGACTATGCAAAACAAAAGAAATCAGTGTTTTTAAGTTGATAAATATCAGTGGAGACTATATTGCAAGCACTTGGCCATTTTCATTTAAATATGCACCATAGATAATTAGTTACCGTGGATGTGACGAGAACCCATACAAGCTAGTGTGACTTTACTAAACTTGAGTTATATACTCCATATCAATTCTCTTAAACAATATGACGGACATAACCGAAGTGGGATCTAATATTTAAATGAGTGCTATAATGTATTCATAACTAACAGGTCAATAAAAACAGACTCTATTCACTAAGCAGGTCTTTCTTCAGAGAATAAACTTTTTGGGATGAAATACCTTCAAGAAAAATCTTGAACTTTCAAAAGAGATTATTATGCCCTTAATCTGGTCAAGGCTAAAACCCATCTGACTGTCACAGATAACGTGAAATAGCATGTTGGACAGCCAGCATGGGTCTTGTGCTACACAGATGAAAGATTCTTACAATCTATCCTAAATTGATACTTAACACAGATTTATAAGTACAATTATGTTTGCAAATTTGTTGAGTGCTTAAACAGTAGGAATTAAAAACAAAAGTGGGATTAAAGTAGGAAAAATAAGGGACACGTAAAGTAGGAGAAAGTAGGAAAAAGTAGGAACAACTTGACAGCCTGTATTTAGTCACTCTAGAATTAAGTGGAATTCTCCAAAATGGGATATATTTAGAAACAATATTATGTTTCACCCCAACTGTTTAACGCCATATGTGAAAAAATACCAGAAATGATAAAACCCATGTGAATGAAACTGCCACAGAATTTACATTTTATGATTAATAGTGCGTCGGCGCCGTTCTGCGAAGCACGTTTTTATCATAACAAGGTGAAACACAAATTTGCACAAACTCTTTAAAGTCATCGGAATATTTCGATAATTAATATGGGAATTTAAGGAATATATACTTAAAAGCACTAGAAAAAGCTTCGAAGCTTTGGAAGTTCTTTTTAGAAAAAAAGAATGGATTGGCGGTAATTCCTTGTCTACCAGTGAATTGTACTAGTGTTTTAAAAACTTGAGTAATGAAATAAATATCAGAAATGCTGTTGAAAGAAAACAGTCGGCACCGGGAGACAATTATTCGGATAATTCTATTTCCAAGAGCTTGGTAACACTATATCAGAGACAGACGTTTAAGCGTCATAGAAAACTTTAAATTGTGAAAGGTAGGCTCTACTGATAATTGTTGATTTCATCTGGGGATAAATATATATCTGCCATTTAACAAATCTTTTTAATCTTATATTCGATACCATTGTTTCCCCGAATAAATGATCGGAAGGTATAATAATCCCATTATTTAATGAAAGGGAAAAAAAAGATGTTAATCTATATCGTGAAATAACATTGATCAGTGTCCTAGCAAAACTGTTTACAACACTGTTAATTAATCGTTTAACCTAAGAGTATAAAAATAATATCATTTCTGACCCTCAGTTTGGATTTAAAAACATGATTTTCCAAAAAACATGCTACATTTATATATTTGTTTGAACGGATTAATAGAAAAAAATCTTTGAAATGTCTCTCGTTTGCATACTGCGTTCATTGATATGAGCAAATGTTTTAACAGCGTTTATAGGTACGCAGTATGGTACAAAATGTTTAACCTTGAAATATCTGGTAAAATTTTACGGGTAATGAGGTCTTTGTAAGAACACGATAAAAGTCACTGCACTACGTTTTCTGTGTCCATTGAAGAAGCGGTAGGCAAGTAGAGATATGTTGTCTCTTCAGTCACATTTAGACAATCTACGAATTTATTGTGATCGTTGGGTTAAAATGTTACTCACGAGAAAACAAAAATAGTACTCAGACGTAGAGATGCGTTGAGAGACGAAAAGGAAATGGTAGTATAACGGGAAAAGTGAAATAGTGCAGTTAAGGTCTTGTAAAAGAATTCTTACTGCTAAAATGCCAGTATGCAAGGATTCTGTATATGGAAAGTCAGGTCGTTATCCACTGTATACATGCATTTATCGTCTTGTTCAGATATTCAAGTTCTAGATTACAGACTTAAATACCAACAATTGTATCATAAAGAACGCATACAGGAAGCTATTAAATTATGCTATTCATGGTTAAAAGAACTGGGCATATAATTTAAAAGTTTTATTAGGAAACATGGATCTTTGGGGAATATACAAGACAGTATCATAGACGGGAAAAAGTTGATTCTATGTTTTAAACAGATGGTGATTGACTGTTTTCTTCAGAAATGGAGAAGTGATATAAATATCAAACGTGTATTATTGGTATATAATATAATAGAAAGGACAGTGTAAAATATGGAAAAATGGCAAGGTAGCAGACGAATTTCACTTTATGCTTATATGTGCGAGATACAGAGTAGTAAGGAGACGGTGTATAAGTGAATATAACACACTTCACTCAAGGAGCTTAAGGAACTGCTAAGATATGTAAATCATGAGACAATGACACAATCAGTGATGTTTATGAAATGTGCTATTAAAATTTAAGGAAATATGGTACGACAAAATGGCTTATCATATACTCTAAAAATTCAAGTCGATTGTTTAAAGTGCTACTTCCTTTGTGAAATTAAACCTCAGTTACGCGAATGATTTTTCTATTTATATTAATTTAATAATTTATTGACATGATCTTCATTTTATGTTATACATATGTGTGTATACATAAATTATATGGTACAATATGTTTAAATCTAAAATGGAATAAACGATATGTTATGTTTTGTTCTGTTCTTTGTTAAACGTAAATTAGAAATCCTTCAAAACTGGACATCAATAATATTTAAGTGCCAACTTCCTGTGTAACTCATGTGCATTTAAACATTATCCCATGATGATCGGATAAAATCTTCAACTACCAGTCAATGGTTATTACATTATCTATTTAGGTATGATGAACAATTAACAGTGTGTGTTAATTCATAATTGTTATATAATTATATAATGTGAAAGAGAGTTAGGAACATTTTGTTAAATGATTCCTGTTTTGCTGAAAAAATGTACATGAACATGATGTAAGAATAATGATAAAAATGTCCATATATCATTTATTTCAATAGCAAGTTCTATTTCAGATAATGTGCTGTTTTAATTTCTTATTTTCCTTAATATTATATTTATGTATATATTGTATATATATATATATATATATATATATATATATATATATATATATATATATATATATATATATATATATATATTATATATATATATATATATATATATATATATATATATATATATGTATATATCTAAAAAAAAAAAGTCAAGCTAATGAATGACCCCCGGGGTGGGGCCAATTTTGACCCCAGGGCTTTTATTTTGAACAAACTTGGTAGACACCCATGAGAACATGTTTCATGCTAAATATCTTAGCTCTAGCTCTTTGAGTTCTTTAAAAGAGGATTTTTTAAGTTTTGACTATATGCACATAGGGAAAATCAATGACCCCCGGGGGCGGGGCCAATTTTGACCTTAGGGCTTTTATTTGAACAAACTTTGTAGACACTCATTAGAAGATGTTTCATGCTAAATATCTTAGCTCTAGCTCTTTGGGTTCTTTAAAAGAAGATATTTTAAGTTTTAACTATATGCATATAGGGAAAATCAAAGACACCCTGGGGCGGGGCCAATTTTGACCTTAGGGTTTTTATTTGAACAAACTTGGTAGACACTCACTAGAAGATGATTCATGCTTTTATATCTAAACACTAGCTCTCTGGGTTTTTTCAAAGAAAATTTTTAAGTTTTTGCTATACACAGTCATATAAAGAAAATCAATGACCCCCGGGGCGGGGCTAATTTTGACCCTAGGGCTTTGATTTGAACAAATTTTGTAGACACTCGCTAGAAGATGTTTCATGCTTAATTATAGCTAAACTCCAGCTATTTGGGTTTTTTTAAAGAAGATTTTTTAATTTTTTGCTATACACATATAAGGAAAATCAATGACCCCCGGGGCGGAGCCAATTTTGACCCCAGGGCTTTTATTTGAACAAACTTGGTAGACACCAATTAGAACATGTTTCATGCTAAATATCTTAGCTCTAGCTCTTTGAGTTCTTTAAAAGAAGATTTTTTAAGTTTTTACTATATGCATATAAGGAAAATCAATGACCCCCTGGGGCGGGGCCAATTTTGACCCTAGGGCTTTGATTTGAACAAACTTGGTAGGCACTCATTAGAAGATGTTTCATGCCAAATATCTAAGCTCTAGCTCTTACGGTTTTTTAGAAGAAGATTTTTTAAGTTTTTCTTATTGGTTGCCATGGCAACCAGAGTTTTTAATGGAATTTAAATTTTTGAACAACTTTGAAAGGGGTCCACCTAAGGATCATTTCTGTAAAGTTTGGTTGCAATTGGCCATGTAGTTTAGGAGGAGATATTGTTTGAAAAGTTTGACGCCATTTTTTGAAGGACGCATGACGCACGACGCACGACGGACGCAGAGTGATGACAAAAGCTCACCTTTGAGCACTTCGTGCTCAGGTGAGCTAATTACTCAAGACATTAATTGCAAAAAATGAATAAAAATATGACCTATAAAATGGGTTAATTTTGTTTGTTTGTTTATTTCATTTTACGCCTTTTTCCAACAGTATTTCAGTCATATAGGCGGGTAGTTTCCTAACCATCGTTCCTGGAGAGTTACACCAGTACTAGACTACCTTCCTCCGCGCTAAACTACCAAAGCATCTCGAGAGGGATCGAACCCACGCCAGAGAGGTAAAAAAAAAGGGTTGAAAAGTTAGTGCAAAAATATTTTAAAAAAGTAAATGTTCAAACCCATCATAATTAGAAATAAATGTATAAAACCTCCGGAGACAGGAATTGTCTGAAAACAGGACTTTTGGCTAAGCACTTTGCAGAGGTTTTAATGTATATTGAATCAAGGTGTATTTTGCGTACATACAAATCCAATAAGTATTGTTTCCAATCAATCGAACCTACTGACTTCTGGAATAATTTAATCTGTCTTATTATTGAATCCATTCGTAATTCATAACTTAAAAAAATCAACTGCTGTTGCTATTAACAGTTTCGATAAAGGAAGCACCAACACAACCCGCCCAAAATCAGGTCGGGTTCTCTTCCAGTACTACTTATCATGTACACGTAATCCAAGCAATTTATGTATATCTCAATGGCTAAATACATACTCCTGCCGTCCGGATATTATTCACGAGGGACGAACTGAAATATGATTCATCGAAATGTGCATACCTAACCCTAACCCTAGATCTGTTGATTTCCGGCGCAAAATTGAACAGTAAGTTTTACAAATTTAAGTTCTTTTTGTTAAGTATGAAATAGTATTGCACAAAACTAAAAAGCTATTGGACCTTTATACAGTTCTTTTCAATTCATGCATTGTCATTCGATGCAGTCTATTTTTAGAAATGTTTGTTGTCGGGGGCTGAAATATGTAAAAGTCAGCACTAGATTGTATTATAAAGCAAATTAACAAAAATAAGCTCAAAACATTATTAAATCAAGCAATGAATGTGTCTGAAAATAATGTTTTAAAAACGTGCCTTTTGTTGTGAGCAGACACTCAAAATATGTTCATTATTAACTAACAATATCGTTTTAACATAAAAAGAGTGGTCATATCAATGTCGTTACTTCCTTATTCCCAAATTATTTTTATTGTATATCTCTGCAAAACCTGACATTCATCATCAGATAAGTTTCTTGATTAGGTCTCTCCCCTAATTGAGTACTCAAACAAATGTTCATTAGGGCGGATAAAGCCCCTCATTTGCGGTACTCTTGTTTGTTTGGCTTATATGTCTTCAATCACTATATAGTTCATGTGAAAAATTTCAAGCTTTACTGGTTGCGGGAGACCTAAAATACCCAACGTTGTATTGCTATATGCAAGTGAGTAGCATCACTGACGTTCCGTAAGCTAGCTGGATAGATTCAATACATGAAGGAAATATTAAATCCTCACATCCTTAGTAGGTTTCGAACCCACAAAGTAGTGAGGTTAGTCTTTGATGTCAACGACTCTAACCACTCGGCCACGGATGTCCCTTATTGTCAAACTTATACGCATGATATATACGCTTAATATATAAGAGAAAGGAAATTATTTTACCGTTTGGAAAACGTTTCGAACATGCTATGACCAATCCGGCAAAAGCGACGAGAAAAGCAATAATAAAGCCAAATGTTTGCGTGTCTATCAAATCCATGGTTCCTGTAGATCTGCAAAGAAAGATACAATCGTAAAACAAGTGCATTTTATTTAATCCTATTGTAATTATACGGTTCCTTTAGCCAAGATATTATTGACAAGCGTATCATTTTCAGGTAATGGCCAATTACCAATTATCATTATCAAGTGCCAATTAATAAATATCAGTAAACTTAATAAAAGACAACACAGGAATGCTACAGACAAAGATTGGTGATCATTTATCAATTAAGTCAGTAGGAAATGATGTTCATAGGTTTTTCTATTTCTAGATTTAGTGGCCACTAAAAGGGGCCAATCAAAGAAATATTTACAACTTGATAAAAGAGTAATTTTAAATGCCACAGAAAAAATTTGGTGATCATTTATAAATTATTTCTGTAGAAGGTGGCGTTAAAATGTATTTCTATATTTAGCTCTAGCAGCCCCTAAAAGAGGCAAATCAAATAAATATGCGTAAACTTGATAAAAGACTTCCAAAGAATGCTACAGAGAAAGTAAAATGATCAACCATCGATTATTTCTGCAGGAAACGATGTTCAAAGGTTGTTTCTATTTTTCAATTTTTAGCTTAAGCGACCCATAAAAGGGGCTTATCAAACTAAAATATGAGCCAACCGAGCCTGCTACATTTTCAATTTCACCGTGTTGGATTATCATTAGGGATTTTTATTTCTCTCCATTTGATAAAAGACTACCCAAAAATGCTACAGACAAAAATTTGCTGATCATCCATCAATTAGTTATGTAAAAGATGTCTTAAGGTTTTTTTCTATTTTTAGCTTGAGCGGCCCCTATAAGAGCCAATAAAATTAAGATGAAAGACTTGATAAAAGACTACCCAACAATGCTACAGACAAATTTTGGTGATCATCCATCAATTAGTTCTGCGGAAATATACATTTAAATGTATATCTATTTTTAGATTAAGCTTGCCCTAAAAGAAGCCAATTTGATAAAAGACTACCCAACAATGCTACCGACAAAGTTTGCTGATCATCTCGCAATTAGTTCTGTAGAAGAAGGCGTTTAAAGGTTTTCTCTATTTTTAGCCATAGAGACCCCTAAATGATGCCAATCAATTAATATAATCAAACTTGATAAAACACTACCCAATATTGCTAGAGACAAAGTTTGGTGATCAACCATCAATTAGTTCTGTAGTGGAAGATGTTTAAATGTCTTTCCTATTTTTTCCTCTGTTGACCCCCTAAAAGGAGGCCAATTGAAATGACATGAGCAAATTTAAGTGTGACTGTCACAATGATGCTAAAGATTTGAAGTAAATCTGCACAGCAGTTTCAGAGAAGAAGACGATTGTTGACGTATGACGACGGACGACGGCTACTGGAGCCCTAATAGCACACCCTTTGGTTCTGGTGAGCTAATAAAGTGCATTCTACTGCTTGTGAAAATATGTATTAATGTTTATAGATTTGATAGATCATGAATCAGCAATGTGATTATGGGAGCAAAGGTCTTTTAAATAAATCATGAAAATCAATTCCTTATTTTCAATTATTTGCACAGGTAGTTTATGAATCATTTGCTTGTTCGTAACTGATTGTAGTGTCGTATTACAATAATCAATGAACCATTCAACTAGTCTTTTGATAACCGTTTCATGCAAGTTTGCCTTAATTTGTTATATCACCAATACCATACAGACCTTAGAAAAGTATTAATCAGTATGAGTTGTGTCAATTTCTTTCATTTGAATGCATCTTTATATTTGTGATTGTTTCGAAGATATATTTATATTTCAAGTTTGATTGAACCATGTTACTGCCTGCACAACAATGCAATAATTCAAGATGTTATGCCAGTGGTATCTATACATAAAATGCTTTTACATGTTCACTTGATTCAAGAAGACACTTTCACGAGAGATATGCTACTAAATCAGTACATGATATAAGAGGTTTAAACAATCAATGTGTCATGTAAAGACTGACATTCCGATTTAACTATCTAGCTTTGAGTGATCTTTGCTTTAGATAAATAAATACAATAATTACATTTCAGAAAATCTTTAAAGAATTTATAACCTACTGTTGCTATTCGATACAATTGAAACACACACACACACACACACACACACACGCACGCACGCACGCACGCACGCACGCACGCACGCATGCACTCGCACACACACGAAAACACTTGCATTCATGCATGCACGCGCGCACACACACGCACGTACGCACACACAAAAATAAAGAGACACGCCTCCATGTGGTAATATGAAAAAATCAAAGCAAAGAAGGCGCTGAATTTGTATGTCAGAAAGGTAAAGTTTGTGAGATTTTAAACCAAATTGTTTGTATAGTGTTATCAAATCAGTTTCCTGTCTTATAGCTATAGTAAATTGGCTATAAGACTAATTGCAACACTGATATTTAAGTAAATGTTTATTTGGCTTAAAAAATTATAACAGAGACATAGATAACAGAGATAAGCAGCTATTATATACTCCATTGAAATATCAATCATGCCTATCAAAAAGTGAAAAATTAGGCATTTTGTAGCAAATAAAACTTAATGGATGTACATTTGATCCTTTAATATTATTCCCTGCGGTCTGGAGACCGTATTGGTACGCGTTTAACTTTTGAGGCATGGAGGAGCACGTCACCTGTTTTCGGTACATGGAGGAGCATGTGATCTATAAACCGTATATGATTGGTTAATCGACCTTTTCGTTAACCCAGCTAAATACTGTTTGCCGGTACGTTACGGATTTACCTGTAGGGAATTAGTCCGAATTGTACAAAAAACTATTACGTGATATTTCTTATTTTCTATAATTATTTTACCGTTTAAGGTGGAAAAACTTGAAAGATGTTTTTAAAATTATCAATGTTTCATTAATATCTATCTCAAATTTTACAAACAATAAATTGTTTATACTGAAAATCTACAAAATGTTCGTAGTGGCATCTGCCATAATAAATAGAGATATTTTCTGCGTAAATTTGTGTGTTTATTTTATTTTTGTTTGCTCGGAATTATTCACAAAATGGTAGGCCTGTTTAATCATTTTCTTAAAAAGAAATATTTGTTTTATGTTGGACCTTCTCCGGTCTTCAACGGTCACCTGTTTCCAAAAACCTTCTTCTATATTGATCGATTATTGTCAACTATATTGCTGTTAAAAACGTTTATTTACCCCCCCCCCCCAATAATGTTGAAAATAGTTAAATGAAATATCTTTATATCATTAAAATGTTCACCGCAGGAAACCATTTTACTTGTATAGTATACTATTTGAAAGGTAAATTTTTTATCTATTGCAGCATGTTAAGATATTGGTAATTGTCCATGCCTTTCACCTAGAAAAACAGAACATAACCACTGAACCAGTTTTTTTGTCATATGAAAAGTTTTGTAACAAAAATTAATAAATAGTTCTCTTTAAAAATTGATGTATCATTTATTTAAATCCGAAATGTAAATATTTTTACCTGAAGCCATAGACATATGCATAAGCTTTCAAAAAATGTATTATTTTATTGATTTTGAAATCTGGTTAATAAGTTTACTTGCTACAAGAGGCACGCGTGATATTTTAGCTGGTTAGGAAGTTGCCTATCTGTGTTATCTATGTCTCTGATTATAATAATAAAATTAAAAAGCAAAACAAAAAGAACATGAGTTGCCTGAACTGGAGTTTGTACTCCAGACCTCTCGCTTTCAAACCGAGCGTGTAAACCCCCCGACCACGGGGAGTTATAAGATAACAGTCTGGAGAATACCATATTATTCTAAATAAGAGTTTGTAACCCTTATCAATTTCGATATTTTGTTCACGGTAAACACTGAATTAAATAATCATGGATATAAGCATACATATCTAAGAAAAACACAATATTAGAAATCGTCGACTAATCGGGAACTATTTTTTCGTTACGAAAATTGATGCGCCTGTCATTTGACAATCTTTACGCGGTGATCTCCTCTTAATTTTTCGGCGTTAATGTACATATGAAGGGAAGTAACCGCTTCGAGGAGTTTGGACTACTTTCGGCATTGCAAATAAGAACAACAGGGTCTGAAATTTCGCTACCATTATTTATTTGATCTGACGACCCAAACAAATAAATCCATTATAACCGACATCTAAATTCAAGAAAGAACGTTGACAAAAGCATCAATATATCGTGTTTTTTCTCTGCATAATCTTCTACATTACTAGTGCAGTAGCATGTACAAATAAAAGATAAATGATCCAATTTAGTCACGTGTAACAACAGTGGTTCGGACAATGACAAATTGCACATTTCCAAATCAATGATTTTAAAATTATTTTTTATCAACAAAATAATTATAAAATAGAACAGTTGTTCAAAATGCTTAAGCCATAAAAAACTTCTTAGTAAATTATTTCATCCTCATGAGAAGTTCCTAATTTTTGATATGGCTTATTTCCTATACCTGTGACCATCCACAACATTTATAATGTGTTTATATTAATAAGGATATTTTCTTGCCTATTTTCAAACTAAATTTGTACACACATTGTTAGATCTTTTTTTAAATTCAACTTGTCATAACATGTAATTTTTACCAAGTTGAAATTATTCACTAAGATGTGAACAAGAACCTGGGACGGTTCAATTTTAACGCCAATAGATAATAATTTAGACATATATACTCGTTAAGAAGTTATCATTAAATGATAACATTTAATGAAACACCATCCTCGTTCAGTAAAGTGTATGGAAAGCCCTGACTGTCTTATAATTATAAACCTAAACATTGTTATGTCCAAATAGCAATATATTGAGTCAACCCTTCCTTATACAAGGTGCATTCATCAATATATTATGTGGATCCATCTTTATATGTAGTCAACTGAACAATATATGATGTCAATGTGACTTTATTTGATGTCAATATATCATTATACGATGTGCATTTTTGAATATATTGTGTGGAACCATCCTTATATAAGGTCAAAATAATAATATATTATGTCAGTCTGTCCTTATATGATGTCAGTCTGTCATTA